ATCATGTTAATTTGTTTGCATTTTAAGAGTTTAGTGTACATATTTAGAAATGTTATGATATAGGTGGTGAAACCACCGTCCCCATAAATACTTACTTGTAACTATTGGACTTTTAAGAGATTATGTTTTAAAAGTGTTAATATTGTGTATTTTTTTATGTATTTTAGTGATTTCGATTTTTTAATCGTTTAAGAATAAGATTATTTTTAATTAGGTTTCTAACACAACATAACTTAGGTTACAAATTATTATTAATTACTTTCACTGAAGGAAGATATATAAATTTATATGCATTCATGCTTCTTCTTTTTTTTTTTGGTTTTTTTTTTTTCTTTTTGATAGTAGGGAATTTTAGAAAAAGAGAACTTGGGAATAGAACTCAAGTTTTGAGTGTCTGAACACTTTTTGCATTAGGGTGACCAATAAATCACTACGTGTTATTAGACCCTTTTTTTTTTTTTTTTTTTTTATGTGGGCTATAACGTTGTTATAATGCAATGGGACAACATGAGTAAATAGTAACTAAGTAGTTTTTCTCTTGAGATTTAGACTTTGAGATGTAGAATTATAGGTTTTCTGTTTCAACTTTCAAGTGAAGTGGAGAAACTGTAACGAAGAACCGTCTCAAACGTCAAACCCTTTAGTTCAGTTCAGTGATAAAGATTAAGGCCTTGTAACCTACGGTAATAAACTTCACTTCCACCTTACGAGAGTTGTGGTCCAATTTACATCGTGAAATTATTATTATTTTTTTTTCAAACAAGGCATTTAGAGGAGAAAAAAACGTCATCCATGAGCTTTAAAAACACAACCCACCACTAAGTCCGAACGTGAAAATATTTCCACACCGTGCAAATTGATTATACTATGTAATGTGTAACGAAAAAGAAATCCTATCAACAAAAACTAGGGTGAGCTACAAGTACCTGCTCAAATAATTTATTAGTATTATTATTATTTTTAAATGTGTTCCCATCCAGCATCGGGTCACCAGGGTTTTGTAACTGTTTACTGACTTGTTAATGAGATAATGCAAAAAACAAGCATTTCAGGTACATTATTATGGATATAAGATCAATCTAAGTTTTAGGTCCAAGGGTAAAGCTCTGCTATCCCTCCGCTTCAAATACATGCTTTATTCTACATTAATGACAGCAAAACATACTTTAGTATAGGGACCTGGCTTATAAGACCGAGTGGCTTCCGCCACTCTTGTAAAGGTTCACCTTCTTTTTCCTTGGTCAACGGTTCAATTTGACTCCACGACACTTGTTCAAAAAAAAAAAAAAAAAAAAAGAACCATACTTTAGGACAGGATAGTTTGAAGCTGAAAGGGTAGCTATTGATTTCCGGTAATAGGACCATCGTGACCTTTCTTTATATCATCCCATCCTCTAACCCATGGTTCGCCGAGTGTTGCTCGTGTCTCAGGGGCAGAATGGTTGTTGAGATTTCGCATGACCTTCTCTTGAACTGCAGAAAAGACCTGTATAAAAAATAAATCACATGAATATGCAACACCGAGGAAACATATTAAGAAACACATATGAACCAAGCTGTGAATTGTGGATCTGTGTCTTTTGGATGGTAACTCACAGGATTAATGCTCACTGCCTCAGGGGGTTTCTCCTGCCCTGTTAACCATCTCCAAAGATCTGGATTTTCCTGCATAACAGACACAACAGACTCAGAAAACAAAAATCAAAGCACATGCCTAAAACACTACTTGCAAGCCTTTTCTCTCCTTTCTCCCCCAGGTTGGCTTCTATAATTTGTATTATATATACAAAATAAGGTATGCCATATTTTGGAAACTAATATATAAAATTATTCATCACATTGAACCAAGAAGC